AGATGACGTGGTGGTTGAGCGAGTAGTTGGAGGAAGCATTGGGAAGCATCATTTGGAGACCCTGCAGGCTTAAAACGACCAACAGTTTCCTTTAAGGACAGAGTCACAGGCTCAAACCTGTCAAAGACAGCAGAGCAGGAAGCAGAGACTGAGAGGTCTTTTTTTTTTTTGCTGCTTCCGGTATGATGCCGCCTGTGTTTGGCTCTGCCGCGGCCGGGTGCAGTTTGTCGCGCTCCACTACTTTTATATTATTTTTTTCTGCTCTGCTGTTCTAATTTAGTTTTAATGATGTATTGGCTGCCTTGGTGTATGATCGTCTGGCTTTGCTTCACTTATAATGACCGATGTAAACTCTCCAGGTAGATAAAAAGGACGACACATGATGGACAGTAGTTCCAGATTTGGTGCAGGAGCGTGTGAGAGGAACAACGTTCGCACTGTTGCACCAATTGTTGTTCACCATTAAACACACGTCGCCTCCCCTTGACTTCCCCGAGTCCCGTGTCCTGTCCACTTGAACCGAGAAGAACTCGGCCGGCTGGATGGCGTGGTCCGGCACCGCTGGGTTCAGCCATGTCTCGGTGAAGCAGAGGAGATTGCAGTCCCGAATGTCTCTCTGGAACTTTGGAACTTTTTTAAGTGACATTTTGATGAATAATGATGCAGGAAAATGCTCAGTCCTACTTATGTTGGACCTCACATCGGCTTTTGACACTGTTGACCATCACATCCTCCTCGAAAGGCTTAAACACTGGGTTGGTGTATCGGGCCTTGGAGTGGTTCTCCTCATATCTACGTAACCGATCTTTTTCTGTGGTGGTCTCCGATTTTAGGTCATCCTCTACCTCCCTTACTTGTGGTGTCCCTCAGGGTTCGGTTTTGGGTAATTTATTGTTCTTAATATATCTTCTCCCCCTCCAGCCTATAATGGGCTCTTTTGAGGACATCTCTTATCACTGTTATGCTGCTTTATCTAAGCTTCAGCTTTTAAATGACTGCTTAGATTCCATCAAACATTGGATGGCTGTAAATTTCCTCCAACTCAACGAGGGGAAAACTGAAGTCCTCGTATGTGCTCAGGACAGATTTGTATCCCAGATAGTGAAAGCCCTCGGTCCTCTCTCAGTGTGTGTTAAATCCTCTATCAGGAATTTAGGTGTCACTTTTGACTCGACTCTCACATTGGATGGGCCATGTGAAATCTCTCGTTCGGTCTTGTTTTTGTCATTTAAGAAATGTGGCTAGGCTAAGCCTGGTTTTATCTCGCCCTGAACTGGAGATAGCTATACATGCATTCATTTCCTCACGCTTGGACTATTGTAACTCTTTGTTTATGTGTCTAAGCAAAGGTTCTCTGGATCGTCTGCAGGTTGTGCAAAACGCTGCAGCTAGGCTGTTGACAAAATCCTCCAAGTATTCTCATGTGACACCGTTGCTATTTCAGCTACACTGGCTTCCTGTGGAATTTAGAGTCCATTTCAAGATCCTGGTCTTGACATTTAGAGCCTTGCATGGACTGGCACCAGCCTACATCTCTGATCTGCTACAGCCCGATGTCCCCAGCAGGTCCCTGAGGTCATCTGATCAGGGCTCACTTGCTATAAAACAGACTAAGATGAGAACAAAGGGTGACAGAGCTTTTGCCACTGTGGACTCTCGCCCTCAGACATTAAGAACTGTGGACTCGGTAGTTGTTTTTAAAAAACAACTCAAAACTCACCTTTTTAAAACTGTTTTTGGTTAAATTTCTGCCTGTTTTATATTGTCTGTTTTACCTTTTATTATTTGTTATCTTATGTGCAGAACTTTGTGATTCTGTCTAGAAAGGTGCTATATAAATAAAATGTTATTTATTATTATTTATTTATGAGCACAAGGAGAGATCTGAGCCCTTGTGGAGGAGACCTCAATAAAAAAGTGTAAAAGTTTTTCACAGCCTTCGGGCGAGGGCTTGATACAGTCAGTATGTGGTGCACTAAGAACAGAGTTAATAGTTTTAAATAAAAAGTGTTTTCTTTTGGCATCTTTTACAGTTTTTTTTTATATTGACGCCAACAGTTCTTTGGCATCTGGAACGTCACTTGTAGTTTGTCCTTTTTCCACTCAGCTCAACGGCAGTCACGTCTGACAGCTCGGGTCATGTCGTTCAGCCAGGGCTCAGATTTAGTTTTAGGTAGTCTGGTTTTTAAATGAGCCACAGTGACCAAAGCAGTCCGACAGGTGGAATAAAACCATGAGCTCAGTTCCTCAGTCTGGCTGCATAAAAAATCCGGGATCTTACAGACCTGGTTAAAAACTGATCTGTAAGATCCCAGAACGAATGAACGAACAAACAGATTATCAGACTGCCCTGTAGTATGGCCCAAAGGCTGAACAGACAAACAAGCAAAACAAAGAAAAAAAAAGACTCACAGTTGATGATGACAATCTTCACCATGGTACTGAGGAAGAAGTGGAAGGGCTCTAGAGGAACTTTCACGAGGACAGCGGTGATGATGAAAACAAGCATGATGACAAAGAGACTGCCCATGACACGCAGACGCTGCGAGACTCTGACAGGAGAAGGAAAAGAGGAAGCTCACGGACTGGCTTGGAGCTCAAGGTGAGCAGATGCTCTTTAAAGGGATATTGTGCGGTTTTGGCTCAGGCGATAGAGCGGGTCATCTGCCAGTCGAATGACCCGATTAGTTATTTGGACCCTGGCTGCTGCAGTCTGCATGCTGAAGTGGCCATAACCCTGATGCATC